CCCTCTCCCTTCCCACCTGCCCCCTCCTCCCCCTTTCCCCTCGCTCCCTTTCCCTCCCTCTCACTGACCGACAGACCGACAGACCGACTCACCGCGGGGTCAATGGCCCGCAGGTCCCGATACGCAATACCCATATCCGCCACCAACTGGTGCCGGTCAACCTGGTACAAATGTACGAGAATGCAGAAAGTACATTTTTTATAGTACGACAACGCACAGTACAAAAGTACGGCATGTGTACGAATGGCATTAACAAAAGCTGGCGCCTCAAGCGCACATGGCCTGTGGAGCAAAGGCGGCTTCCGCCGGGTGCTCTCCTCGAGGGGGGGGGTTCGGAAGCGCGAGAAGAGCGGGGGGGGGGGCCGGCAGGAGGGTGATGTAGGCTTCGGGCGGTCGCGGCAGCCCCAGCGCCCGCAGTCATCTAGAAGTGGGAGGTGGAGCTCCTCTGCACGGCTGCATAGTTACATCTTTACAGCTGCCCCTCGATAGCGCCGCCGGACGCCATCTCCCATACCGCTTGGCTTCCCCTAACCCTCCCCCCCCTTACACACACACACACGTGTGGGGGCACACACACACACACACATCTGCAGTCGACATTTGCTTCTTGCCTTGTATAATCCCCTCCAAAACACACACACACACATACACTCTCTCTTCGTAAGCAGCCTTTCCCGCCACCTCTCCTCACTCTCCTCACCTCACCCTCCTCACTCTCCTCACTCTCCTCACCTTCACAATAGTCGGAACCCCCTCCCTGGAGACGTGGACCACCCGCCGGGGGTGGCGAGGGTCGAAGGGCGTCACCGAGGCCGCCGATGCTGCAGCCGCAATCGCGGGCCCACCGCCCCCGGCAGGCCCACCGCCGCCATCGCCACGTGGAAGGCCACTGCGACCCAGGATTGGCCGGCCGGAAAGAGACCTGGCTCCGAAACCGGCACCAACCGGCGGATGCGGATCCCTGAAACCGCCGCCAAACAGGACGGGGAAAAGGGGCTGTGCGGAGGGAAATGCGGAAAGCACGTCCCCCCAAAACAAAAGTGGCAGTTGTCGAATGATGGACGACATACAAGTCGTACAAGCCTTGCAAAGGGAAAAGCGGCTGTTAGGAAAACAGGTAATGAAGTAACGGCAGGATGGCGGTAAGGAAGATGGTACGGCACATGCCGTGCACGGTCCATTGCTGCTCCCTTATTGTGTGGGGTCGTGGCCACGCGTAAGACCCTCTCGCCACGCTTCCCGAACCCTTACGTAATCCGCATTGTGACGTGGCATGACATAATAAAATAAAAAACGAAATATAGAACGATAATAGTGATAATAGTGATAATGGTGATAATGGTGGAATTTTTCGACAGGGGAATTCAGAGGTCGGCAAATAAGGCGGGTACTGCGGGTCCACAGTAACACAGTACCCGCAGCCGAAATTCGGCTTAAGGCCCCCTAAGGCGGCGGCTCCCTAATGATGACCAAACTTTGACCAAAAGACGTGATTTGCAACCTCTATTGCGGCCCGTAAGGCCGCGTGCTGGACTTGAACTCCGTGTTTGACTTTGACTCTCCCTTTAGGTTTACTTCCTGAAATTATGCCCTCCCGCAGCCGTTGAAACCAATTTGCCGACCTCTGGGGAAATTCCGGAATTCTTGAGTTCGTTGGAACAGTTGTACGGCTGGAGGTTCAATTGAAAGCTAGATGTGAATATGCTAGAACTCGCCGAGGCCCATGAGCCTCCCGGCTCCTCCGGGCCTTACGCGCTCTAACGAGCTGATAACATAACATAACAGATAACAGATAACAGACGTGACGTGACTGTATGATAATTGATTGCTTCCAAGGCTCACACCGAGAGTGACGCGAGGCGAAGGTAAAGCCTACCCTGATGGGCCGGGGGGCCTGTCGGCGTGCGGAGATGCTCCCCGCCATGACTGCCGCTGCTGCTGCTGCTGCGTTTGAGGCGGCGGCGGCGGCGGCGGCGGCGGTGGCGGCGGCGGCCGGAATCCATGAGGTCTTGGCTTACCTAGAGGCGGGCAACAGACAGCCGCCGGCACCGCCGCCGCCGACGACGACGACGATGCCGGCGCGCCCGTACCGCCAGAAGCCGCGCCCGATCGCCCCTCAACGCCAGGTTGGCGGTGTACGGCAGCGGCATCACGCTGGGCTCCAGGAAGCGGCTCTTCCAGCGGAAGCATGGCCCTTCCAGCGGTTGGTTCTCGCTGCTGGTGCTGGTGCTGGTAGAGATACTGGTTATGCTGCTGGCCCAGCAGTTGCTGCTGCTGCTGGTCGTGGTGATGGTGGTGCAATTGGCGATGGTGGTAGTGGTGGTGACGCTGTTCAATCGGAAGGCTACGATGCCTCGCGACAAGCGCTGCCGGCAGCGCTTCCGCAAGTCCCGCTGTCGCGAATAGTTGCGGCTCGACCGTTTGTCGCTGTTGTGGCTGTGGCTGATCCTGTCGCTGCTGCTGCTGTTGATGCTCCGGAAGGAACGGCGGCAGGAGCGGCTCGTCCGCGTCCTGGCTCGCTGTTTGCGCAACTCGCCTGCTGCCAGCTCGCGGCCGTAAAAACCAGGACAGCAGTCCAGGTAAAGTCATCAGGGCGCTGCTAAGTCGGGATTATCATCAGGAATCCAAGAAAAAAGAGGTGTTGCTGCAAACGACGTTTTCGATGCAGGCTGTCCAGGGTGGGGCAAATTGGTGAGCATCCAAAGCTCAGTGACCCGCGCGACGGTGTCAACCTATTCACAACAGATACAAGGCTCACGTAACCCTGTTACATTGCGTGAGCTTTGCTAAGCCTTACAGTGCTTTAGGCAGGGCGCTGGAACTGCCGAAAGGGAACGGATGTTGGCATAGTGTTTGGTTCTTTATCAAATGTCCTCTTCGGGCTTTTAAGAGAAGACGCAGACAAAGCGACGCTCCATATGTGCTAAAGGGGTCCTGGCTAACTGGTAAGAAGTGCTTAGGTACGCACGCAGTTGAAGCGCTGACGGACTCAGGCTTGTGTGCACGTCCCCGATTCAGCTGCATCTGCCTGACGCGGAAGGTGCGTCCCTAGGACCCCTCTTCCTTACAGCTCCTTAGTAACCCTTTCCAGACTGTGATTAATTTTACTACTACTACTACTACTTAATCATACCAGGTCCGACGAAAAGATAGTTTCTGTACACTAGCTTCTGATATCTCCCTCGGACGCCGACCACCTACGTACTGGCCCACAGACGGTGGCTGCCCTTGCAAAATGCTGTTTGGCCCACTTCGTCTACCCCAGAACATTAGCCCTTGGTTGGTCCCGCTTCAACTTCTCTTTTTTCATTACTCTAGAGCACACAAACATCCTCCCGTACTCTCCATACGATGACGCTATGAAATGGACATGGCAAAGGACAAAGGAGGGAAGCGCAGCAAAAGTAAACAGAAGAGCCCCAGGCCCACATTAGTTGGAATTCCATGCGTCCCGTGGGTCATACTTCATCGCTGGCAATATCTAACAACATTGATGATGACTACCTTTTCCTCCGCGGAATCATGGATATCTCTATGCGGCGTGCACCTGATGATGGACTGACTTAATTCTTTGTAAACGTGCGATCATCGTACAAGTTACATCAAGTGACATTCTTCAAGTAATAGCCCTACGATTGTCCTAAGTATCCCTCCCTGAGCTTGAAACGTATATAGGTTCAATAACTTGCCGTGAACTGGCTTTTCAAGTGACTCGTATCCTGGTCAGGGCAGTCAGCTCCTTCGAACCCGAAAAGGGCTCGGCCCCGGTGCAGCCAGTCACCCCGCAGTATTCCGCAGGGGAGGTTGTACAGCACTGGGCTGCAAGTGGAGGAACGGTGTCGTGTTTGGACTGTTTAGACGCTCTCATTATTATGGACAGTTGCGAGTGCCGGGTGCGACGGCTGGCGGCGTTGGAGAGATGCATGAATCTGAACACATCAGGGCGACTGAGGACTTCCCACGGCAGTTTACGGCTACCGTCCTCACCCCAATTTACAAGAAGGGTGACCCCAACACGCCGAGTAACTACTGGGGCATAGCGGTAGGGGGCACCTTGGCGAAATGTTACGCGCTGGTCCTCCTGGATAGGGTCCTTCGCACGTTATCCATGGATACTCGTTATGGGCGGTGCCTCAAAGACTTGCCGTACTTTTGAGAGCTGTGAATGGGCAGCTAGGGTGTCTAGGTGCCCGCTGCCTAAAGGATGCATGTACAGCAGCTGCGGCTAGGAAAAGCGCTAATCCAGTCACCAAACGGCCTTCCGACAGTCTGACTGCCACATTACAACTGGTCCTTACAATATGGTGGATGGAGGATCTGCGAATGAAAAACTAAAACTCAAAAATGGCTTAAGAGGTTTATGGGTTTTGCGGTTTTTTCAACGATTTTTTTTAGTAAAAACGTGTGTTTCACCCTTGACTAAGTGATCAAAGATTTGAGTCAGTTCATCCGAAAAGCATGATAAGCATCCTTTTGAGATACGTTATCCATGGATACTCGTTATGGGCGGTGCCTCAAAGATTTGCTGTACTTTTGAGAGCTGCGAATGGGCAGGGTTGTCTAGCTGCCCGCTGCCTAAAGGATTGTTGCATCCTGTAAGCTTTCTGCACAGCTTGTGGCTCCGTAGCCGAACTGTCGGCGGTTAGCTCGTCCGGTCCGATTTACTTAACTTTGATGTTACTTACTAATACCTGTTTTATATCCGCTGTCGGTGATTGCAGGTCTAACAAATACCGATATTAGTTTACTTGCGACTACCGTTAGTTGCGGCCGCTTGCGACTACCGATAGTCAAGTTCGCCATTGAAATGCCGCACCGCTGCGGAAGTCCATACCAGCGTATGGGTGGGGGCTTTATGCTTCGACTTCTCGAAGCGAAGTATGAGTGTAGAGATAGGCATGTTATTGCGAAGGAGCTGCCGTGGTGCGTGGAAGTAGGGCGCATGCGTGCATGTGCCGGACCACAGTACGGCAGGGGACGCCAAGCTCCTACTTGGGTCCCACAGACGCATTGTTTCTTTAACTGCCGTTGTTTTGATTATTACCAAGAGGTGTGTCCCGCTGCTGGGACACTGTCATCTAGTTTTGTGTTGCACCGTCTTTCTTAGCGTTACTAGGATCGAATGTCGGCTATGGACAATGTCGCTGCAGGCGCGGAAGGACTAGTATTCTCTCCCGAAATGCATGCGTTTTTTGAACGGCGGCTAGCCGAGGAGCGTGAGTCGGTTCGGGAGGCGCTCACCGCCGACTTCGACCGGAGGCTGAAAGAACAAGAAGAATTATCACAATTGAAATTAGCTCAAGCTCGCAGCGAGAATCTTCCCCAATGTGCAGAGCCACCGAACCTGGCCAACCACCCGTCATTACGCGAATCCTGGGCCTTCGTAAAGGATGCGCGCGTCGCCACGGAACAAATCAACGTTATGTTAACAAAAGTGGCGGATAATACATCCTCAAAAGGTCAGGCGCTTATGACAGCTGTCAACCGCTTGACTAACCTCATTGACCTACGTTTAGCAGCGTACACTGGCGCCATGGACGCCACAACTACCAAGAAGGCAGAGTTCGTCATGCGATACTACGCTACCTTCCGGAGCAAAGCCCTCAACCCGACCGGCCACTGGGCAACGGGGGAGCGAAAATTCAAAGACGTCCAGATGGACGAGGCTGCCATCATCGATACCGGGCTCATGCGGCCCACCGGCAGCTTGGGTGGCAACAGCATGGCTTACACAGAGGGCTCTGGCAACAGGCATCGGCCCTACCCCGGCTCCGGCCACCGTCACCCTCCGGGCCCGGGAGGCCTTAACAGTTTCCGCGGAATGCGCCACAGCAGTTACAGGAACACTGGGCCCAACCCCCAGAAGTCTTGATGCCTCAAGCGTCTTCCACCGCGGCTACAACTGTACCCAGCCAGATATGGCCAGTACCATCACGCCGGGACTACTACAAAGCCATATGGGCCGACCATTTTTTGGAACAATTTTTTAACTCGTGCATAGACTGCTTATGCGGCCGTATGGGCCGGCAGTTTTTTCGGACCTCGTGCATAGGCTGCTTATGCGGCCTTATGGGCCGGCAGTTTTGGACCTCATGCATCAACTGCTTATGAGGCTGGATGTGGCCAACAGGCTTTGTGTAAAAAAAAATGTGGTCTGGTGGCGCCTTCGTGTATATGAAGGTTCCGGGTTCGATTCCTGGTCAGACCCCCGACATTGTTCGGGAGGTCTAGGTTTACTAACGCTGCTGAGGTGTGGAGATGAGGTCTAGTTGATGGACTAAGTTTCGCATGCTGAGATGGTGGTGGTGGCTGATCTGTCTCTACGGATGTTGGGTGACTGGATGAGGAGGGGTCTAGTTGGCAGGACCCAAACCGCCGTCGGTCGTACGGTGTAATCAACTTTCAATACATATAGTCCATGGCCTCCCGGCTTTGACGGACCCCCCCGCACTCGTGCGGCACTTGTAACTTGTAACTTGTAATCCCAGTTCCAATTTATCCTTCCCTGCGACAATGGCTGGATTGACTGCTTAGGCCGGGCCACAGACAGCCACACCCCAACAAGTTCCAAGTGCAGGAGACTACAGGGACTGATCGAGAAGCTTTCGCAGAAGTTCTCGCAGACCATCCGAACGGACCGTCCCTTCCTGCAGCACGGGGAAGCTCGCAATTTTTAGCATGGTCCAAAAAAAAACCAGTTCTTGCATACCCAGCTTGCACACTACCCGTATAGAAAGCTGCCATCGCCCACCAATATGCTGGTCTGTGCGGATGAGTACCTGCAAGTGACACTGTTTCGTCTTAGTTACCGGGGTTACCTGTATGCCACAACTTCCGCAGCTCCTCTTCTGCCACGCTCTTCATTCGAACAATTACACAGAAGCCACTATCCTCTTGTGCGACCTTCAGGCTGATGAAGCTACACAATTGTGCGGCACCCACATCCCAACTACCATCGCAGTCAGCAGCATAGCAGTCCAGGTTTTGGTTCAAGAATCACAATAAGTCCAGAAACGTCACCAGTACCAACATAGTGAATACAACTGCACCCTGTAGCAACCGGCAAGCTCCCATGTCAGCCGGCACAGGTGCCCTGCACAAGGCGCCACATGGTGAGCCAGTGCCTGCAACCAACGCCTGCAACCAACGAGGTTCCCTACCCGGCATGGAACACCGGTCACAGCTGGCACTGAACAAGGTCATGCCCGGCGGGTGGATGAACTTGTTGTGGCATACTTGCATATTTACCCTCGGACTTTTCCCCAATTCTCTGGCACTTCACCGCTGGGCAATATCTTCGCTCTTACTTGGTTAACCATTGGGCACTGGCCTATCTCTAATTGGGCGCTGGCCCATCTCTAATCGGGCACTTGCCTGTCTTTATCACGCGTGATACTGGGTTATAGCGCTCTTGCTATAATCGTGACACTTGTCACTGGTAGACCCACTTGGGTTACGATTGCACCGATTGGTGATAATTCGTGTTGACGACTATATCCTCGGATCGTACAGACTTCTATACGGGTCGTCCTAACGCAGAGGCATTTAGCCTCCCTCCAATCGGTAGTTTTCACTACCACCTAAACAGTGGAAGTGGATACAACAAGTGGTATCGAGACGTTCGGTCTCGACCAGCTCTTCCGCACTAATCTCGATCGTTAGCAAATGTCAGAGGCTTACAGTGTTGGAGCGCTCGCGGCGGCTCTTCAGGGTAAGTGAAAGATCGTAATCATCTGTATTGTTTTGTCCTTGGTTGTATATCCCATTGTGATCGCAGAGGTTAGAACGGATGCGGCGGACCCAACCGAGGTAGAGCCGCCTCTTCAAGCCCTCCCCCTATCCGCTGTAGTGACTACGTCGTTATTACATAAGGGTAGGCCCTTCTCATTTAGCTAAAATGTTTAGCTCCGCCCCGTTAAATTTGGGCGGCGACCGTAATGGCGTAGACATGGCGTCGGGCGCACCTGATGCTCGTTCCACTTTGCCTGCCTACGCTGTTGCGGGACTTGTTTCCGATCCCGGTGCACCTAGTACTTCTAGAGGTCCGGTCGGCCCTATTGAGGTGCCTGTTGCTGTTCGCGAACCTGATGCGCGAACGCCATTGTCAACTTTTGCCGCAGCACCTTTGTTGCAGATGCCCACTGGGGCTGCCGAGAATGTTCGGTTGAGGCCACTTGGTCCTACTGGTGACGAACGTCTCCACTCCTTGCCTTTTTTGGCCCCTTTTGCTCTGCGCCGCCTGCTTAACACTCCCATCAGTCGCCCCAATGTCTCGCCGGTGATACCAGAGACCCAGACGACAGATGCAGACCGCCGTGCGGCGGCTGCGCGGGCGTTAGCGGTGGAAGCGGCTGCTGCTGCTGAGATGCGATTGTTACAGTGGACCCTGAACGGTGCTGCTGAGGCTGCGGTTGCGGCGGCAGCCGCAGCCGAGCCAGAGCTTTGCCTCCGGTTCGGCCAATTTCTTCTGCCGACCTCCCTCGGGTTAGTTTACCGACTCCTGTTTTGCAGCTAGATACCACGCTTGATGCGAAGCAGACTGCTGCCCGCGTAAAGGCGTTTATTCGCGACGCGTCTTTGTTTTTCGAAATCGTGCCCTGGGGTAGGGACCATCGCTCATGCTGCCTGTTTTTGTCGCAAGCGCTCTGTGGCGTTGCAAAAACGTGGTATGACGAGTGGTCTCTATCGCAGCGCGAGCTTACTGCTCAGCTTGTTCTGGATAACCTGCGCACGCGTTTTGCTCCTCAGGTTATCTCTGTTGAACAAGCAGCACGACGTAGGCTTTCTGACAAATCTTTCGTGATGCGCGCTGGCGAAAGTGTGCCAGCTTACCTTTCGCGTCTTGAGGCCGTTTTCCAAGACATACCCACGATCAGTCCTAGTGAGCGTATGTTTTGGTTTTTCGAATGCCTTTCTTCTTCCTTACAGCCCCATTGCGCCACAGACGTCTATGGCAAGCCGTTTACCTCTTACGACGCCCTGGTACAGCACGCCTTGGGCCAGGAAGCGCGAGCCCTGTCTGAACGAAAAGTTCGTTCTGCTCTTCGTTCGAATTCTGTTGTTTTGCAGGAATTCGACGGAGACCAGCCCCCGTTCAAGAGGGCGCGCGTGGACTCCGGCCCTCGTCTAGCTGCGGCTGTTGCGGGGACCTCCCGGCAGCCGGGACACGGAAGCATTCCTGGGCGAAGTAGTCGCGGGGGCAGAACGGGTCTGCGTGGCGGGCGCGGTGACAGGGTTCGCGGCACTGACCGCCCTGACGTATCCGCCGGTGGAGAGCCCGCCGTTCCGTTGGCAAAAGCTTGCGAGTTGACCAAGTGGGTCAACCAGTTCGGTCGTAAGTTGACGCACGGGGAGGTGGCATTCTCCGGCGGCACGCGGGCG